AATAACAATAACTTGGTTCTGATTTCTAGTGTGAACCTGGTTTTCTTTTAATATCTCTGGTGGCCTAGCAGTAAGAAGTTACACTGCAGTCCCATAGACACGTGGCTCGAGGCCACAAGCTGCTCCTTGGTAGAAGGATGGGCCATATCCTCTCAAGTGATTACCTAACTCTGAAAACCTACCAGAGAGTCAGCTATGGGTTGGTTCCGACTCTGTGGTACACAAAAGCATCATCATTCTAGAAAGCACTACCATAACCTTTTCATTCAATCCTTCACTTTTGTTATCAGAAAATGACAATTTCATACTTTTCTAGCTTCTCTAATTTGTCCTTCTCATTAAATTACTTGTACTATCTAATAGAAACCATATTTATCTCATTCTCTAACCACCAATTCCTCTTCATTGAAACAGTTTCCATCTTAAAACACTTCAGTTGTATTCTCTATTTTAAAACTGGCTTCTCTAAAGTCTATAAATTGCAATTTCATTTTATGAATTTTAAGAAGCCACCCTAGTATGAAACATTTTATAGACCATGTCTCACTTTCTTTTTTATTTACTGAAAATGGAAGTTGGATTGCCTTTATTTCCCTCCTAGTGTTTATTATGACATTTCAATGACACAACTTCTAAAGTCTAACTTAGTAGGACTTTGATTATTTTCAGTGACCCTGGCCAATACCCTTTTCTACTATTTTAAAGATCCAAAGTAGTCTGAGAGATAAAAGAAATCTTGGAGAGGATTATTTCACTAAAAAAGCAAAGAGAAAATCTGTAAAGAAAAGTGGCAACAGACCACAGAATTAAATGATTAAAAAAATTTTGATAATTGTAAGTTATGACCATAAACATAATTTTTTAAATTTTATTTTATTAATTTTAATTAACATTTACAGAGATTTTAGATTTCCATTAATTCATTGTTGCACTTTTCTGCCTGCCCAGCCCTCCCCCTGCCCCCAGTTTGCTCCTCTCTTTGAAAAGTAAAACTACCTCCCTGGTACACAATACCCCCGCACTTCTCCCACCACCCCAAGTACACTCCACTATGCAGCCTTAATTCTGGACTCTTGTGATAACCATAATTTTAGAATGGTGTAGAATTAATTTCTTTAAGAAACTTTGTAGAACAACAATCTGAAAGTCAAAACTACTTCCCAGGATTGGCAGGAGAATGAAAAGTACTTGGATAGCCTCAACTTGCCCTTCTTTTTCAGCAAAACCAAAAAATTAGGGGGCGGGTAGAAACTGCACAGGCTCAAGGAATAATGATGAAACAGGCAGGGGAACAGTGATGGTATTTTTTAAAATGACCGACCTATCAAAAGCTCACTTTGGAAAGAAGAAATGATTTTTTATTATTATTTTTCCCCCCTCTGAGATATAGATGGGAAGGCCAGAGAGGTGTATAGGTGATAACTGGAAAATTTTAGATGAAGAAGACATAATACTAAAGTCATGTGGAACAATTTCGTGTGCTTAGTAAAATGGGAGAGATGGCTTATTGGTAAGGAAGTGAGCTTCCCACTCAAAGGCACACAGTTTGAAAACATCAGCTAGTCTGAGGGAGAAAGATGGGTGGGATTTATATCCTTTGGAAATCCCTTGACGGGTCAGCCATGAGTGGATTCTGACTTGATGGTACCTAAAAACAATAGTAAAATGGGACAGGAATTACGTGTAAATGTGGTATTCAGACTGGAAGCCTCAGGCTGGACAGTGTTTGTGAGGAGAACAAACAAGAGCTTATAGAGGAACCGCAAAACTGATTAGGTCACTCTTACTTGAAATCGTTCATTAGAATATTTTTAACTAGCAAGGAAAGAATATACTCCTTTTAAATTTCATTTTTATTGATTTTTTTCATAGAAGACAGTAGTATAAATAAATCTGAATGAATAAAGCAATTACTGGCTTCATGTTCCGTTGTTAATTCCTGAGCTAAGACTGGGTCCCGTTTGTCCTTGAGAGCCTAATACTAGTATAGTCAAGAATTTAGAATGATTTTAACTCACACTTGACTTGACATTCACCTTAATATTTTAAATCAGGGAAATAATGAGGCTCTCCTCTCCCCTATTGCTTACTCTTATGCTGTTCACATTGTTTGTTCTTAGAATTATATACTTTTTTTTTCTGCTGAATAAACTTTGACTAAAGTGTGATTCAAGTATTCCTATACTCACTCACACCTTCTATATATTGACTAAGTAGTTGTTGTTTTTCAAGACTTTGACTTCAACTTGACCTCCTTCACAATGCCACTTCAGCCTTAGTTGTTCTCTCTCTCTGGAGAGTGAATTCTGCTCTGTAACGGTCTTTATTTTCAAATTTCTCTATTTTCTTAGACTGATTTTCTTGTTGGAAGGAACCTATCTTCTATTTATTTTAGATGCATACACTCTAGTTGAGTTCAGACACAGAGACATAGGTTCTGAGAAGTTTTGTTTGTTTTTATTTTTTATTGTGATTTGTGCACATAACAACAACAAAAACATTGATTTGAATTAAAACTTTACAAAGCATGTTAGTTCTTCAGTTAAGAATTAATATACACTTTGTTTCATAACACTAATCATAATACTGATGATGTATAAACATTCACTTATTCTCTATTGCCTTTTCCTTCTCGTATCTTAATACACATTTATCTATTTATTAATTTTTATCCTTATCTCCTTCCTTTCTCCTCCCTTATAACAATAGGAGAATGATTCTATGCATAAACCTTTCTTTAGCTTTTTTCTAATAGTGCTCTCATATAATATTAGAGTGTTATTGAATGTTCCTATATAAAAAAATTTGTAATTGATGTTTTATTTTCTTATGGTGACACCACTAGGTAATATTTTAAATATACATATCTATCTGTGCTTCATTGACTATGCAGAGGCATTTAACTGTGTGTATCATTACAAACTGTGGCTGACTCTGAGAAGAATGGGAATCCCAGAACACATGCTCGTTCTAATGCGAAACTTATACTTGGACCAGGAGGCAGTCATCAGAACAGAGTAAGGGAACACTGCATGGTTCAAAATTGGGAAGGGCATACGCCAGGCATGTGTCCTGTCTCCATACCTTTTCAACCTGTTTGCAGAACCGATCATCCGGGAGGCTGGGCTCTATGAGGAGAAATGCGGCATCAGGATTGGTGGAAGATCTAGCAACAATCTGCGTCATGCAGATGACACAACCCTGCTTGCTGAAACTGAGGAGGACCTGGAGCACTTGCTGCAGAGGGTCAAGGACTGCGGCCTTCAATATGGATTGAGGCTCAATGTCAAGAAGACAAAAATTCTCACCACTGGATCAATTGGCAGCATCAGGATGGATGATGAAGAGATTGAGATTGTTCACGACTTTAGTCTTCTTGGCTCCACAATCAACACTCTTGGCACCAGCAGCCAGGAAATTAAAAGCCGTATTGTGATGGCAAAGTCTGCTGTTAGGGACCTCTCTAAAGTACTGAAGAGCAATAGTGTCTCTCTGGAGACTAATGTGCGTCTGATACAGGCCATAGCCTTTGCAATCACTTGTTATGCATCAGAGAGTTGGACAATGACTGGGGAGAATAGAAGGAGAATTGATGCCTTTGAGCTGTGGTGTTGGAGTAGAGTATTGAGGGTACCAAGGACTACTAAGGAAACAAATAGATTCATCCTGGAGAGAGTTAAACCAGGCAGCTCCTTGGAGGCAACGATTGTGAGGCTTCATCTGACATACTTTGGTCATGTTGTAAGGAGAGACCGGTCCTTGGAGAGGGACATCATGCTTGGGAAGGTGGAAGACAGGTACAGGAGGGGAAGGCCCTCTGTGAGGTGGATTGATTCGGTGACTAGGCTAATCAAGATGGGTGTGTCGGAGACAGTGTGATTGGCACAGGACAGAACAGAGTTTAGGGCTGTTGTACATAGGGTTGCTATGAGTCACAAGCGACTCGACGGCACATAACAACAACAACAACAACGGTCTATATTTTTTTATGAAATTGCTGCAGAGAATTTTTTTCTTTTAATGTTTCAGATATTCGTAATAAGCTTAATCAATTTAAGGGGTTATTTTTAATTTAGGTTTCATTTTCTGCCTTCGTTTTCTTGGTTCTCTGAATGCTCAACTGGCCCCAAGTCATGACTTTTAGGGATGTCATGGTAACCTGGCACTGAATCCTTGGGTTAAAATGTTCTTTCTTCCTTCCTTGAAATGTGTCCAGCTGTTACTTACTCCTCCACTCTTTTTATTCTTTCTGTATTTCATTCCTGTCTTTTAATGATCCCTTCCTATACAGACAGTGCATGTTTAATGCTTATAGCCATGGTGTATTTGATGTATATAGCATAAAAATACCCAGTAATTTGTTATGCATAATAATTTCTATTTTAAAATTTAACTTATTTATTCTTGGGGTTCTCATGGCCTAGTGGTAAGAAACTGCACTGCAATTCCAAAAGTGTGTGGTTAGAATGTACTAGCTGCTCCTCAGGAGAGGACGGACAGTATTCTCCTGTGTAATTTATTGCCTCTGGAAACCCACTGAAAGTTCAGCAGTGGGTTGGTTCTGACTCGAAAGTACCCAACAACAATAAAGCCATTTATCTTGTAATTCGATTGTTTTGGGTTGTTGGCTATTTACAAGGAGCTCTGATAGCACCCTGCGTAAGCTCTTGTCTTGTGGCTCAACGTCTTATTCCTGTCAGCCACTCTTTGGGGGAAAAGACCCAGGGACTTGCTCCCATGGTGATTCCTGCCAAGAAAATCCTGTAAAGCAGTTTCCCTCTGCCCTGTAGGGTCACTGTGACTTGGAATTGACTTCATACACCCAGCACAACAACAGGGGCAAATTATGTGACTCTTTCATGTCGACATGATTTTTAATGGCAAAAAGTAAAGGAGTTTAAAAGCAACATTTAAGTTGAATAATAAGTTTATTGCACTTATAATAAATCTGTGAACACATATACAGAGAAACCAAAAAGACATATTTGTGTTTATTTTAGGAATCAAACATTTTAAGTCCAGTGCAAGATGGAACAAAGAAACCTCAAATTGACAGCAATAAAAGCAACAACTACCGGATCGTTAAGGAGGTCAGCAGATGGAAAATGCTTTTGTGTGGTTTTTATTTTCATGGCATTTAATATTTTTGCTTACATAGGATATTTAGTATTTTTATTTATTCTAATATTGTATCCTCTTTTATAGATTCTTATTAGACTAAGTAAACTCTGTGTACAAAACAAAAAGTGTCGAAATCAACATCAGCGATTACTGAAGAACATGGGTGCTCATTCAGTGGTGCTGGACCTCCTGCAGATACCCTATGAAAAGGTGGGTTCTCAGTTACTGTTTAATTTACCTTTTCATTTTGATGCCATCCCAAATATACAGAAAATTCTAAATAAATATTTTTTTCCTAGAGCTGTTCAAGAATAATTTGCCAATTTGACATGCAGCATCCTTCATCACTTCAGAGCATATTTCCTACCAGTACACTTTTTAAAAAAAATTCTCATTATTTTGCATTTTCTACCCCCCATTTCCTCTTCCTTCTCTCCGTCAACCCCTGCCTTGTTCCAGTCTGTTCTCGTATATATAATGCATAATCATATACTCCTCTGAACCTGTTCCTTCCCTCATCGGTTCCAGTGCAGTGTTCATTATCTATCGATCTCTTCCCCTTTCCCTCTCCACTCCCTCCATGTCTGCCCTAATTTAGAACAGCAGTGCTATGCAGTATTTATCCTTCTGTGACTGAGAGCTCAAGAGAGCATGGTACTTGTACAGCAGTAGACACATAGATCAATGGAATAGAACTGAGAATCCAGAAGTCAGCTCATCCATTTATGTTCAGCTGATCTTTGGCAAGGAGATGGAGTCAGTTAAGTGGAGAAAGGACAGTCTCTTTAACAAATGGTGTTGGCATAATTGGAAAAGCATCTACATAAAACTTAAGCTAGACTCACACCTCACACCTTATTCAAAACCCAACTCAAGGTAGATCAGGGACCTAAAAATAAAACCAGACTAGAAGAGTCTTCAGAGAAAAGCTAGGAAGAACTCTAGAAGCCCTAATTCACAGCTTGACAAAAATATCCATAGCCTTTCAGACTGGGAAATTCCACTCATCTTCAGGCCACATTTAGTTTTCTCCAATTCACACTGTCTATTTGTAATATCTAAAATTTTGTAACCCTGAACTCTTGTGACACTGAGTTTTGAAGTCCACATTAGTTGTTTTGGAGAATATTCCTCACTTGGGATCATCTGGTACTTCATCCTTGTTAAAACCAGTTGTGTATGATTTTTTGCAAGGACATAAGTAAAGCTGAGTTCTCTATTTTACCACATTATAGATTGTTTTGTGTGGCTGTTGTAATAGAGATATCACAAGCAGAGGGTTTTAACAAATAGAAATTTATTTTCTCACAGTTTAGGATGGCAGTCATAATTCAAGATGCTGGCTGTAGGTAAAGACTTTTTCTTTCTGTTGTCTCTGGAAGAAGGTCTTAGCCGCTTCTAAATTCAGCTCCTGGATAATCTTTATGTGGTTTGACCTCTGTCTCCCTCTGCTCTGTTTTCTTCTCTTTGCCTGATATGTTGTATTTAGATTGCAAACATGACTGACTTAAAAATACACTACATCCTTTTGGATTATAATAAAGAATGGCCAATTCCCAAATGGAATTAAAACCACAGATTTAGGACTTAAATCCTACAACATACGTGATTGTTTGGGGACAGTGTAAATCCACGGCATTGGTGAATTTACTTTGACTGCTTAAATTGGTGTCTACCAGACTTCTCTATTGTGGAATTACTTATTTTCTCTTTATAATTAATAAATGTCTTGTAGAGTGGCTCATGGAAAACTAACTAAAAATAAGGTTTTTATAAAAAATTTCATTTTATGAATTAATTTATTTTTATCATTATGAACTTGTGAATTCTCATTTTATCTGATAGTTGATAACTGGCTAATCTCATTATTTGTTTTGATTCCAAAATTTGCACAGATTTGACCAGTGGAGCTCCTTCAAGTTGGCATTTCTGTCCTGCGCACAGTCTGTCATTCTTTGCCAACTTCTTTCCTTTCTGGCATAATTGTCCACATTCATTTTATGTTCTCCCTGCTCCAACTCTGTTATTAGCAATTTCTTCAAGTAGCTTCGATTTATTTTGGAGGGCAATTTGATTTTGCTGCTCTTAAACCCTTTAAAAAGGTAGAACTAGGAAATACATATATTAACTTAAATTAATTTCCTATCAATTCTACAAAACTATAGACTCATATTGACATCTCTGGTTCTATCACCCCTGGCTCATCTTGTTTCTCTTTTTCTGTCTTGGATATCCATTAGTGGACAGTAGGAAGCCTGTCTCCCCGCCCCCTCTTAACTTTAATGTACTTATTTGACTAATGGGAACTTTGGTGAAATAACTTACAGGGAACAGTTTTGCTAACCCCACAACCATACCTATCTGGTGGTTCAAATCCATCAGCAACTCAGTGGGAGAATGATGAACTGTCTCTTTTAGGCATTTCAAAGCCTCATGATCCCAATGGAAGGAAGCTATACATCAGTTCTGAGTTGAGTTTTGTGGGTCTCCCCCCATTTCATTTGGTAAATGCCCTGTGTATCTTCTGTATCTGCTGCTGCTCATGGCGTCGTGTACCTCCCTGTGTCATGTTGATGCTCCATGCATCTCCCTCAGGCTCTAACACTCTCCAGTGTAGACATCCTTGTCCTCCCTCTTGAGTGCCAGCCCTCCATGCCCGTTGCTCTCCCCGCCTAAGTTGGACTCCCATGCTGAGGTGCCTCCAACTCTTTTCTGTTACTTCGTACTTCATTGCTTTGTGTTAATGCTGAATCTTCTCAACCTTCAGTGTGTGCAGTATAGACCCAGTAAGGTTTTTGAGGCCTTGCTGTTTTGAAAAACACATTGCTAGTCTTGTCCCTTGAGATACTTTTGGGGAGATTCAAATCAATCTTTAATCTTTTGCTAGTAATTGAGAGCTTGACCATTGTTCTACACATGGACCAACTTAGTTATCTAAAATATGTAAATCCACATGGTCCGTATGGATTGTTTAGGTTTGATTATTAACTGAAGGCTGGTGATTTACATCCATCAAGTGGTGCCATCGGGAGCTTTGGTGGCCTAGTGGTAAAAGATATGCTGCAATCCCCAAGAAACACCGCTGAAGTCCACCAGCTGGACTACCTCCACCTATGTGATTTACAGCCTTTGAAAACCTGCTGGAGGGTCATCTATGAATCAGTTCCAACTCGACAGTACTCAGAAGTAGCCTATGGCCAAGTATTTTTCTGTAATACATGAGTTTACCATGAGTCTGCAACTGGGTATTTTTATTTTCTTTTGCATGCAGGAATAACTTTACTAAATCGTGAGATTTTTTTAATTTTTAAATTATTGTAAGTTATTCAGAAAGCAAAAAAAATATGGAAGGCTTCACAAATGTTCATGTCATCCTTGCATAGGGGCCATGCTAATCTTTTCTGTGTTGCTACAGTTTTAATATATGAGCTGATGAAGTGAATATAGGTTTGTTTGTTTTTTTTAAGGATAAGTTTTGTTATCCAGATAGGTTTAAAAGAGACATTGTAATATGACTATTGGTCATACTATCAATTATCTTCCTCTTTTCCTTAATTTTATTATTTTCTACTCTGCTACTATATTTGTCTCTGTGGGTTTTGTCAAGTGTCAGTAACGAGATTATTCAGAAGTAGCAACAAAGTAAGATTAGCGTTTCAAAGAAACATCCCTGACACAGATGTTCTCTGCACTGGCTAAATTTTCAATGAGAATGAGAACATTTGGTGATTTAAATACCTGTGATGTACTTTAACTATCACTGAACAATATAAGTGAAGAAAAGGGTTAGTGGATTTAGAAATAAGATCTTATGAACTTTAAAAAATAAAAATAGGTCTTATCAACTTTATTTAAAACTGTTCTTACTTATTTGTCTAGTTGATTAGTCCTGCTTTTAAATATGAGTAAACAGAGCAATTGATTATTTTAGACTGTGTAGTTACAACTGGGATAAACCACAGATTTAGACTAGAAAAAAAGAAAGCTTTAAATTAATTTAGAATAATGAAATTAGTTGTTATTGTTATTTCTATGTATTGTCATGTTAGAACTGATCTATGGCTGATAATCCTGTGGGTTTTCAGAGGCAGTAAATTGCATGGGATGAGACTGCCTATCTTTCTCACATGGAGCAGCTGGTGGATTTGAACCATGTGTCTTTGTGTTGACAATGCAGCTCTTTATCACAAGGCCACCAGAGCTCTCTTGTGAATTTATTAGCATTCACTATTCACCTGTATTTCTATTTCCCCAACCCCCCAAGCCCCCATCACTGGAAATTACCTCATAACAAATGGGACTATCAAACTGAAAAAAAGTTTTAGGTGGTTTCAATGATATTATTAGGTGACTACTTCTAAGAACAGAGCTTTCTATTACTTGTAAACTTTGAGACTTCAACTTCCTACTGAGATAATTGAAGCATTTTAGTTTATACTAAAATATTATAGTACATTATAGGACTTTCAAAAATGACAACAAAGGGGAGCTCTGGTGGCCTAGTGGCAAGAAGCTGCACTACAATCCCAGAGGTACACGGTTTGAATCCACCAGATGCTCTGTCGGAAAAGGAGGGACAATTTCCTCCTGTACCAGTCAGATCAGTACACACACACACAAATAATAAAATAAAAAAAATTAGAGAATAAAAAGACAACAAATAAAGAAGACACCTAGACATTGTAATAGTACACGTATTAAAGAATGTAGATATATAGAAATGGTTAATACAAGAGTGGTGAAAACAGAGGAAAAGAAAAAGAAAGTTGAAAATGAGAGACAAAGTAAGAAGAGAGATGAGAGAGACTGAGGAAAGAATAAAGTGAGGGGTTGTTCTCTGTATCTGTATTTCTTTTTTTTTCTTTTTTTTTGTATCTGTATTTCTATATTTCATATCTTTCTGTATACACGCACACACTCACAGAATTTCATATGTGTGAATGGAGAGACTCTTACAGGGTAGGAAGAGAGAAAAAGTAGGTGGAGAGAAGGGAGAGTAGGAAGGACAAGTAAGTAGAGAGTAGTATTTAGATGTTGAGAGAACAGCAGGATGGAGAGAAATATGAGAAAAGATGGAACTAGAAAGTGGAGAAATAGAAATGGGAGAGTTAGATGCACAGAAACCCTGGAAAAGAGAAAAGCATAAGAGGGGCAAGGATTAGAAAATCCTGTAGAGAATTGGAGGCAGCCCTGATGGTGTAATGTGTTCTGTGTTGTTTTAGTAAGTAAAAGTTTCAAGCCCATCAGCTTCTCCATGGAAGAAAGATAAGGCATCATGCTTCTGTTAAGATGTACAGAGGTAGAAGCTCTGTGGTGGATTGCCATGTGAGAAGGAGAAGGAGGAGAAGCAGTTACGAATAGGAATAGAAAAACAACATTATCACAAAGATTGTGGCAAATAGTGCACCATGAAACAAAGAGAGGAATGCTGAAGCAGAACAGATAGAGGAGGAGATCTAAAAAGCTAAGCAATAGGTTTGGAAAACAGAGAAGAGGACAGTGAGGAGAAACTGGGTGAGGGCCAGAAAAGCACAGAAAGAGAATAGACAAAACAACACCCAAAAAAGCTGCTTCAGAGGGAAAGAGCACAGATGTGAAAGGATGTATTTTTCAAAGTACTTTTACTATATTTGAAGTATGTAAATACTATAGATTTTTAAGATCTTTTCCCCTCTATATTTGTTTCTCTGTATTATACATTGCTTTTTAATTTACAGAGTGATGAAAAGATGAATGAAGTAATGAATCTAGCCCACACATTCCTGCAGAATTTCTGTCGAGGAAATCCGCAGAATCAAGTTCTTCTTCATAAACATTTGAATTTGTTTCTGACTCCTGGTGTAAGTATTTTAGTGACTTTGAATATTAATATTAGACTGTCCAATATGTTTGTTTTATAACACTGATAATCAAAGAGAAATATCAGGGAAGATCAAGAAGAAAAAAAATACAGTGCAGGAGGGTTTAGTGGATGGATGAGTAGAATGAAATGATAGAGTAAAGTGAGGATTTAACAGGCCATTGTTACAAATGGCACTAATCAATTGTAATTGATATTATGACACTAAATATATAAATGTGTGAATAAAATTAGTGAAAAAAATTTAACTGTTTTAATGTTCTCATTATGCCCATGTCAAATAAAGTATGTTTTAGTTCCTTTGTGGAAACATTTAAAGATATTTGAAAAAATTAAATGTTTTACCCATAAATGGGAACATTGTGTGTTTATAGTGTAATGTGAGACAAAAATAAGGTAGAATAGAGAACTATCATTCTACAAGTAAGAAAGTACGTAAAATTCAAAGGTAGATTTCACTCCTTCTGGTCCTTCGTTACTGTTTTTCAGATACTGAGGAAAAACTAATTGAATACTAGCTAATTAGATGACTCTCATGTTGGCAACATGATGAGTTTTGTGATAGTAAGTTCCTTTTCCCATCAAATTCCCTTATGCGTTCAGGTGTGGTTGTTTTTTGTTTTTTAGGGTTTTTTTTTTAAGTTAATAATCTCATTGACTTTTGTAGAAGATGTACAGTGAAAACTCACTATTGCTTTGTATCAAATAAATAACTGATCACAAGCAGGGATCTGAGCCTAAATGCTTTAGAACAGAAAAATCAATCTTATCCGAATGACGAGGGCTTGCTCCTCTGTGCTCAGCTTCTTGAAGCAGAAACCATGAGGCACATCTTCATGAACAATTACCATCTGTGCAATGAAATCAGTGAGCGGGTCGTGCAGCACTTTGTGCACTGCATTGAGACACACGGCCGCCATGTGGAGTACCTGAGGTTTTTGCAGACGATTGTAAAAGCAGATGGGAAATATGTGAAGAAATGCCAGGATATGGTAATGACAGAGGTATGTTCATTGTTTGCATTTTATCAACTTCTCATAAGTTATATGCTCAAAGACGTATTTTCTGCTTACTTAGGCTGAAAAAAACCCCACAAAAAACCCAACCACACCTTTAGCTACAAAGTTAGGAAAATCATTACTAAGGAGCTCTTTGGCTTTATGGTAAAGGGGTTGTGCTGCCAACTCAAAGGCACATACTTTGAATGCACCAGTGGCTCCATGTGAGAAGGATGGGTAGTCACCTGCTGTGTGAATCACCACCTCTGAAAACTGCTGGAGGTTCAGCTCTGAGTTGCTTGCACCTTGATGGTATAACAAACCAACAGCAACACTTGAGCTCAAACAGGCATTTGTTGTGTAGTGTGGTTTTTGGGTTTTTTTCCCCTATCTTGTGAAACTATAGAGTGTTTTAGAATAGAGGATTTTATAATTTTATTAAAAAGATCCTCCCTTAATAATAAATTAATATATTTTAAACAATGAGTAAAATCCTATGAAAAAAAGAGCAAATTTTATATTTTTAAGTTTTTTAACAAAACAGACATGTAAGCTCTTTTCCAGGCCATAAGGTTTTTATTCCTGAAATAGACAATGTGTAAAGTCTCCTACTAATTTCAGCAGACTTTTTAAAAGAATCAACCTAATAAGTAGAAACTACCTATTAGTGACTTAAGGAGCCTTGGTAGAATAGTGCTCTGTTAGGCCACTAAAAGAAAGGTGGGTGGTTCGAATCCACCAGGTGCTCTAATCCACTAGAGAATGATGAGGCTGTCTCCCAGGATGGTTTGTAAACCAGAGGGGTGCTGTGAATTAGAACTGATTTGATGCTAATGAGTTTAGTATGGTTTATTATGACATTTAAACATTTAACTGTTTGCAGAAGATTTACATTTAAAGGAAAATGCATAAAGTACTCATTTTCTTTTGCCCACTTCATTTTGAAGTTCGTGAATGAAATCTACCTGTACATTACTTGCTGGATGTTCAGTGAGGTACTTGAAGAGGTGAGAGCACCTTGAGCCCATTTGGGGAAGTCACTACTGAGTGACCCAGTGGTTCCTTAGAGGGCTGGATGGATAACGGCAGCCTTCATCTATTGCTACCAAGCAGTTAATCTAGTGATTATAATAATCATTGGGGAAATGGAAATGATTTAAAAATGAGAGGTTTCCATGTTTATATAGTATGAGTCCTTGATTGACTCCCTTTCTCTTAAAATATTGATTAAAAAAATTTAAGTTCTATTTATTAAATATATGATATTAAATAAATTTGTGCATTCACATTAAGTTTTGTTGTTATTGTTGCCAAAATATGTGGGGACTTATTTGATTTTTTTTCATTTATGATCACCCAGGAAAGAATTAAAAAAATCTATAAAATTTCAAACATGTATTACAGGTCTGTAAACTCTTTGATGAAGTGTTTCTATATTTAAAGAAGTATTTGTAATATTGTATTATGTGGAGCTAATATATAATGCACACTTTTTATACATAAACAATCTTCTTTATCAACATTTTCAATTGAAACCCATGAATTTGGCTTATAAATTTAAGTACATTATTTATTTAAATATACTTAACAAAGACAATATATTTTAGCACATTATTTATTTAAATATACTTAACAAAGACAGCATGATGCTCATGGGAGAAAGATGTGCCAGCCTCTCTTGTAACAATTTACAGCCTCAAACACCCAATGTAAGGTCGCTGCGAGTCAGATATTAACTTAATACAGCCGTGGGTGGAGAATAAGGAAACCTTATGGATCAGCTGTGCTCTATGCACTGTGATTTTCTGAGGCTGTATATACCTTGAGAGGAGAATGTTCCACTCTCTCCCTTAGAGCTGGTGATGGATGCGGGTCACCAGAGAGGCAGCTCCTTTGGGTGAGCAGCACAATTCCCCAAGGTCTATGGAATCAACTCCCTATAAATAGAGAACATATTGTATAAGTCATAGTTTCCTCCTGAATTTCTAAAATTTGTTGGAGAGTGGAACTGGCAATAGAAAAACAATAAGGAGCCTGAGTTATAAAATTGTGACTTGCTGTCACTCTACATTAAGATTATATTATTATGTAGAAAGGAAAATTTACTTCCTAAAACCTCTATATATTGATTTTTTCCTCTATTTTATGAATATTTTCATTTTCCTATATCTCCCATATCTGCTTCTACTTCCATTCTCTGATGATGCCTTAACATGACACATGGGATCTCCAGATTTTGGAGCATTGTGTTTGACTCAATATTCTTGCTTGATGACTCACTATTTAAGAATGGCTGTATTTTATTCTGTGCTTTTTTTTAAAAAAATTTATTCGTTTTAGTGAACATTTACAGGGATTTTGGGTTTTCATTCCTTCATTGTTGCACTGTTTTCTCTACCCTCCTCCCCAGTT